TCCTCCTCCCGGCCTCCCCAATAACGGGAGAGCAATGCCCGCCTGGACCCCGGGTCGGGGAGAGAGCAAGGGCAGCGCCTTTATGGCACCTTTTTAAGATAACGCGTCAAAAAGGGGGAAAATAACACCCAGGCTCCGGAGAAAGATGCTCAGATCCGAATGAAAGAGCTGGGCGAAAATTCCTTTGTCCCGCTCCTGATTTTACCTCCTGCTTCCACCCCCCCGCTCCCAACCTCCAGGCTTTGAAGCTCCACGCACCTCGGGCTGCTCTGGCCAAGCGGAGGAGCCAGGAGGGTTTTTGTTTTCCTCTCCGGCTGTGACGGGGCCGGGGGGGAATATGGGAGGGGGTCGGGAAAAAAATCTCTCTGCCCCCCCCATTCGTTCTCGGGCAGGTAGAGCAAACCCACCAAAACGATTTTGGAGAAAGCTGCGCGGATGGAGGGATTTGTGCGCGTCTCCACAGGGAAGGGAGTTTGCCCGGTCCTGCGAGGCTGCATTTACTGTTACATTTCTGCGGGGAAAAATAAAAAATAATAAGTCGGGACAGTGTCGTGACTGCAGGCAGCTCGATCGCCCTTCGTCGGCGAAATCGACCTATTCGTAGCGCCATGCAACATCCCTCCTAGAACGGGTCCAAAAAAGCCTGAGGGTCCCCCTTTTTTTGTTTGCTTTATTATCGCCTGAGAAGACGAAAAGCTTTTGATGCTGGTTATTTCTCCGGGCGAAACGCCCGAGCCCACGGTTCCTCGACGGTCTTTAAACCGGGGGTCGCGGCTTTTCGGACGGTCTCTTTACCCCCCCGCCTAAATCCGTTGTGAGTCCTTTCAGAGCTCTGCCAGCCCATCCCAAATCCCTCGGGCTGCACCCACCCGCGGCAGCGGGTCTCTGTCCCGCGGTTCCCCCTGCACGGCGGGGGCCGGAGTCCCCTCGAAGGGGCTCGGAGGGGCTTCCCCGGCGCTGTACCCGGTCGCCACGGCCAGGCCAGACTCTCCGGCACACACCCGCTCCGCTTTTCCGTCCCGAGTGCCGGGCAGAGATTTTTCCGGGATTATTTTAGATGAGAGGTTGTACGGGAGAGAGAGAAAGGGGGGCGATACACACAGCCGCACGGGGACCAGAGGTTTCCCTGCTTCCTCCCTGCGTGGCATGTGCGGGAAATCGGATTCATAAAGAAGCGGGAGGCCTCTCCGTGCCGCCCCGACATCCCAGCCCCGTCTGCGAGCATCCACGCCCGCAGAGATGCGCGGCCGGGCTGCTCAGAGCCAGCTCCTTGCCCGGGGAGCAGCTCCCCGAGACCCCCCACCTTCCCCAGGACGCTGCATTAAAAGCCCAACGAGATTCTTTTCTTCTTGCCTGATTTCTAACCAAAACCCTCCCGTCTCCAAAGAGACTCGAGCCGGACTCGGAAATAATAGCCACGTTAGAAGAAAAAAAAAAAGTAAAAATAACAAAATAGCGGGAATACAACAAAACAAACAGACGCTATGTTTTTAAAGAAAAAGGGCCGGGCGAGGAGCCGGCGGTGGGGGGGTCGATGCTGGTCCCCCCCCCCAGGCAGAGCCCCGCGCCGGGGCCGGCGGCAGCGAAACCTGAGTTCGCCTCCCTCGTTAGCTGAGCGAGCCCGGCCCCGCTCCTTAGGAAAATATTTTTATTTTATTTTAATGTCGGGCTTAAGCTGATGTCTTAAAAAATAATTGTTTTCAGACCCCGGTTCGCTCGGCATCGCCGTTTCACACTCACAGGCACACACAGCTTTCCCTGCAGTTCATGCCTCGGGACTGCCTGGCGTCGGCAAGACAAACTGCAATCTCCGAAATGTCAACTTTTGCCACAATCTCGACTAAAAAAACCACCCCCTTCTTATTGCTGTTGAGCGCTCATCAGAAATAATGGCTGTTTACACAAAACCTTTATTCACTTTCTTAAATAAACACCAGTGAATTCAAATAAAGCAAACCCTCAGCTATAATTCAAGCACAACGTTTGCTGTGTGTATTCTCGGCTGCGGACCTGGAGAGACTCCTCGGAGAGAAATATGAAGTCTCCTTTCATAGTCCACATCCATTAGCTAAATATTCTCGCTCACCTCGGCCGAGCTTATCCTACCCGAGCTTTCCTTTTTTTTTCCCCCTTTTTTTTTTTTTTTTTTTTATTCCCCGCCCCCGCTTAGCTGAAGCGGAAATATTTCCTCCCGTCTCCCCTGTCCCCTTTTACAGAGGTGAGGTCTGGAAGGTCTGGACGCTTCTCTTTTCAAATAAATTTTGCAGAAGCCCCTTCCTCTTCCACAGCCCCGGCTGCGGTGCCGAGGCGCGGTGGGGGCCGCCGGGCTGCGCGAAAAGGGGCTGCCGCCCCAGCGAGACCCTGCGCGGCCGAGGATGCTCGTAGCCCGGCGGGCTGGGGGGGGCGCGCGGGTGAAGGGGGGCAGAGGGTTGGTGAGCCCGGCGAGGGGATGCCGAGGTCTCGTTTATTTGAAAAAGCCGACTAGAAATGAAGTTTGCGCAAACCCTTGAGCTCAGCCAGGTAACGGGGAGCGCCAGGTACCTGCGGGGGTGGGGAGGGGGAGAAGGGGGTATTGCCCCCCCCCACTCCCCTCAGCTCCCCTGCTCCCAGGCCGGGACTCGCGGCCCCAGCCCTAATGAGATCCATTAAGGGTATTATTGATGTGGAGGTTTGCTGTGAGGTCCTGGCTGGAGGAAAGCGGAGCTCTGCTGCAGATACAGGCGCTCTGATCTGCACCACCTGGCTGAAACCAGAGAGCCGCCACTTCATTAATGGGTTTAGCCTTTGCTAATTGGTGTCTTTAGGAGCCCTGCCAAATTCTGCTCCGGGATCTTTGGAGGCAGCTTTTGTTTTTCCTTCTGCCGGTGACATTCGTTGACGGCAATTAGACCCGATACTACTTCTGCGCCGGCGGGCAGCCAGGCTGCCCGAAAGCCCCCGAAGGG